CGCAGTGGAAGACTTAAAGAGAAGAGCTGATCTGATCTGGACTGACCCGACATCCATCACACATCACACATGAGAGAGAGGGAGGAGGGACCGCAGTCATGGAAGAAAGGTCCTTTCCTCACACGTATACATGGGGAGATACCACGGACGAGAGATGGGGGAGGSACGAGACGAGGAGGAAGGAGGCGAGGGAGTAGACCAAGATCGCAATAGCGAAGTCCCAAAAAATAGTCCCTTGCCGAGTGTCCAATCAATGCCTGTCACAGAAATGTCGAATCAGATCCTGGGCAATGCGCCCTGTATAACCTCTGCCTGAATCCTTACTGATAACCTCTCACACTCTCAGATTCGAAGAAGAAGATGAGATAGAGGAGGAAGGAGGGAGAAGAGAGAGAGAGAGAGAGAGAGAGAGAGAGAGAGAGAGAGAGAGAGATGGAGGAGGGAGAGAGGAGATGAAGTTCTCCTCGCTATCTCACCTGCAGGTCGCTGCCACCGTACTGACTCTGTCCGTCGCCGTGTGCAGGTACCGCGTGGAGCCCATCTATGGCGCCAGGTAAGCTCGCCGACTGCAGGTATGGCCTCCGCCACTCCCTATCTCCTCTTAGTCTCCTCTTAGTCTCCTCTTAGTCTCTCCTCCCTACTCCGCAGCCTAGCGCGGTATAGCGCTCTCCTAACCAGCAGCGTGTTGCCCAGAAGTGAGCTACCCGAACTGTGCCCTGCCCAGACGTGGCCCAGCTATTTGTAGTGCTGGGCGGCTGGGCCTACCTAGTGCTGTGTGGCCTAGAATGGCCCAACGGGTCTGGGTCCCTACCGGACGTCCAGACCCTGCTGCTGATGCAGCATGGCGCAGAAATGCACCTGGCCTAAGAATGGCCTCCTACCGGTGCACCTGGCCCAAGGTGTCGTCTTGGGTCCTGCAGGACCGAAACAACGTCTGTTCCTACCGGTTGGCGCCAAAAGGCGCCTGGCCTCGTTTCGGGCCTGCCTCTGGTGTACCTGGTCCCAAGGTCCGGCCTTGGGGATGCAAGTCCGAAACGGCACCTGATTAGACAAAAATAAGACAGCACACACCCACAAAAAGGTAAGTAAAATGAAACCTATCTACCTAGTGTGCTACCTAGGGCCTGGAGGGCCGCCGTGGGCCTCTAGGGCGCGTGCTGGATAGTACGCGTCATGGGGGCCCCTCTGCAACCGTCGGGCCCCTCAAATGGGGCCCGTGTGCAGGCTCAGCATGCAACAGACGGCGCTCGTGGAATAGCGGGTACCAGCTCTGATACCAATGCAATCAGACTCGCTCTCATTCACACTCTCATGCATGCAAATAGGTGCGCAGCAAACTGGCAACGAGCGCCCACTCAAAACTCAGAGATATGGCAAACAAGAACACAGTTCAAATACAACTCGCTTCAGATGGCTATGGTGACACAGCGCCCACACAACTCTCTGTTCGCACACACAGGATCACCCTGGATATCCCACACACGATACTCTGTACACACACACACACACATGCTGAACTCTATCTACAGCTATGGCGGCTATGGCCGCTGCTGCCCTATCGCTATGGCTACGCTCCTTCGGGTTCACCGCCCACTTCGTCTTCAGGCTCAGCGCAGACCACCTAGCACAAGTCACTGTGGCAGCGCCTCCGCATGGTTCACGCAGGAATGAATCAATGACTGGGCGCGGCCTCTTGATTTATACTTTTGCAGCTCGTTGGTCTGGCCCTTTCCCATGCCTGTAGTGCACACAGTCCCATGCGGTACTTGCTTGACTGGACTAGGACTGACTGGGACTGGGTTTGCTCACTCGGCACGTGTAGACTCCACCACTTGCTCACTTGCCTCGGCCTAAACATGGGCAACTTCGAAAAGCCACTACTCGGACCTTCCAGAAGGCCGTAGACTTGGCCTTTCGATGCTGTAGCAGCTACGACCTTGACCTTTCGGGAAAGCTACAGCTACGACTTCTAAACCTGACTAAGACTCCTACTCGACAGGTCTACAGATCGAACCACTGCTACCTATGGACCCTACGACAGTCTACCAGCTGTTACAAATACACAGGTCACRGGTTCAACTCTAGGGGTCGACACAGATACTGTACACAGGTAAGGTGGGGACTAAGGATCGAGCCCTTAGATCTGCATCGGCTACTGCGAACTGGTGAATACCGTTTCACTGTTATTTTTTGTTATTTTTTATAAACATACGAGCCCCTTATCACATTTTTGCTAATCGTGTTTTTTCTTTGTATTTCTGCTACATTCTCGTTCACGCCAAATGAGAGTGCACTGATCGCCCGCAAAAAAAAGACTTTTCTGAATTCTCCTAATATTTCGTGCAAACCAGAGATTTTGTTTTCTCTGGTTTTCACGAATCCTATGTTGTTATGGGATGTATTAAATGATGATTTGTATTCTTTCAGTTATCATTTCATATTGGATATATTCCTATCGACTACGGTCGATTCCTTTTGATATAATTATGTATTGTTACTATAGCTTTCTTTTGACTAGTGTGTTGCATGCTGCGCCTGCACACKTGCCTGCACACGGGCCCAATTTGAGGGACCCGACGGTTGATGAAGGGCCCCCAGGCTGCGTACCATACAGCACGCGCCCTGGAGGCCCACAGCGGCCCTTCAGGCCCTAGGTAGCACACTAGTTAGAATCATACTTGCGGTGC